GGGGGGGGGTATTAGTAATCGTAATAATATTAAAGTTCTCTAATAAGGTTAAAGCCTATTCCGACTTATATGAATTATTTTCTTCCATTATGCCCTATCTTTAGCTAAGTCTGCATTGATTCTAATGATTTGTAGGTCTTTCGAGACAACTTCTTTCCATGTGATTTTAGGTCTACCACGATAGACTCACACCTATGTACCGGTACCTATGTAGGGCAACACAAGACATGACCAAACCATCTCAAGTGACCTTCTCTCTTTTTATCTTCAATGAGTGTTACTTGCACCTTCTGGCGAATGTGATCACTTTTCATTTTATCTATGACTGCACATCCATCTTAGTATCCGCATCAATGGAAACACTCATCTTGTGGATATGTTGGACTCTAGCAGCCCATTCACTACCATATAACATTGTCGGTCTTATATATGTTCTACACTTTTCACTTTAGAGGGCATCTTTCTATCACATAACACCCCGGTAACATTTCTCCATTTCAGCCATCCGATTTTAATCCTATGGGCAACATCTTTATCTATTACTTACATAAAATTCTGATTTACTACTATTACTAATGTAAACTTTAATTTAAAGAAACTAATGCAAACTTGGTAAAATTATGCATAAATAATACTCCACAATGTTGGGTTTACAATATAAAATTCTATGTTGCCGATACTGATATACTTGTGCAAGAATCCATGTATAACTTTACTCAGAATAGAATATGAAATAAGAATATATGTATTAACACCTGAAATGATAGTGATAACCTTAAAGTTAATTATTGATGTTGATATCGCATATACCTACATAATAATCATTGCATTACTATTCACCAAATGATAACCTATGTATAGTTATTTTAGGAACAATCTATGTATCGTTATTCAGTAAGACTTGCTATATTATTTTTCAACTAATAAAAATCTTTGTATTTGTATTAGAATAGTTGTATAACTCGTCCGCAAACCAAAGGACTCCTAACACAATTAGGGTTCGTTTGGTAAGGTATATAAGAATAATACTGAATAGGGTGTACTTTTATTGCTAGGATTAGTAATGTTGAATTTAATTATGCTAGGATTAGCTTTTATCTACAATTTGGTACGGTGTATTAAAGGTTTTGAAAGGGCAGTTCTATCTTTATACATACTTATCCATGTACTAAACAACAACAACAACCCAGAATAATCCCACAAAGTGGGGTCTTGTTTGCTAAAAATTACTTCCTTCATTCCAGTTTATGTGAACCTATTTCCTTTTTGGTCCGTTCCAAAAAGAATGACCCCTTTCTAAATTTGAAAACAATTTAGCTTAAACTTTCAATTTTACCCTTAATAAGAAACTTTTATAGTCACACAAATACTCTGGATCCCTTTTTGACTTGTTTAGAACCACAAATTCAAAAAGTTTTCATTTTTTCTTAGACTTTGTGCCCAATCAAACGGGTTCACATAAATTGGAACGGAGGGAGTATGATATTGCTAATGTCATGGTTTGCTATGTATAAGAATAGTATTGAATATGGTGTATATCTAATATAAGTATTAGTTATAGAGAGATTGAAAACACTACCAAACAAGGGATTAATAATACCAAAGTTAATACTACCTCTGTTTCAATTTAGATGACACACTTTCCTTATTAGTCTGTTCCAAAAAGAATGACATATTTCTACAATCTATATATATATATATATATATAAAGCTAGGAATTAGAAAGATGATGTGACACCCATCAAAGCTCAAGGAAGTCCTTTATCTTTTTTCTTATTTTTTTTGCATTTATCCCTTATTTGATGTCAACAAAATCTGCAGAAAATCAACTGTAATGGACTACCTTCCATAGAATTTAATGTTAACCTATAAATGTAAAATTAATACCAAAAAGGACAATAAAGAATCATGAATGCAATAAAGAATTGCAGTAAATCAGGATAATGAAGTCATGGTGGAATCCTTTTCCTCATGAAGATAAAGGCTCCCTATAACTTCTAAATCACTAAAAGTGCACTGGTTGAGACAACTCATTTCTGCTTCAAATGAATCCTTTTTTTCGTGGGTAAGAAGAATTGTTCTATTAATGAACAATGACTATTGAGCTTTTATCTGAAGTGTAGACAAAAAAGAACGCATCAGGTTTTTTCCTTTTTTCTTTTTATAGACGATAAGGTTCAGATCTTTGCTTTCCTAGAAAATCTAAATTAGGCATATATTGGCCCTCTAATGTTGAATATAGTGTTTTTTTTAGTGCAAAATCTAGACATAGCAAGAAAAAAATGATTTCTTCTTTTCATGTCAAATTATTGAAGCTTATTTTGCAGGGACTGTTTGGGAGAGCGCGACATCCAGAAAGATCAAAATTCTTAGGTATATGGAGTATCTATAATACTTCCTCGTCTCATAAAGTTGTGTATTTTATAAATCTGTACTAACTTGCTTCAAATGCTTGCCACGGATATCAATGAGAAAACTAGCTTGAGGTTGGTCTCCCAATAATTGAGAAAACTAGCCCCTGCACTTCCTTTTCTTGACCAAAATCTAAATGTAAGTACCACCATTAAGGTTATATTGTTTCCTTTTTCTTTTCTATTTCTACAACTCGTATTCTCCTCCTCTTTTATTCTGACTCATATTTTCGTTCATTTTTGTCGATTTGTTGAAGGCCGACTTGCAGTGTCTTCCCGGTCAGACCTTCTATGATTTGGTAAAATTTATTGATGTACATATTGTTACAGATAATTGTGGTATTTGCATGAATCTTATTATAGACCTTTATTAGTGTTCAAAGTTTTTGTTAGAATTTATAGTTTTTATGAATTTATGTTCTTTATCAGGCATCAAGTGCTCTGCTGGCTAATTATGCATTTTCTTATGTTGGCATACAGTTCTCTCCAGATATATAGAAGATTTGTTCGATCTTTTCCACCAAGTACATATTCTTTTTAATGTTTTTACCAATAATATTTGGTTGGATAGTAATTAACAACACCATGATGTTTAATTCCAGGCCTGCTGCCCCGTAGATGTTCAGATTTATGGCTTATAGAAAGAGCACGCACTTTGTACTTCAGAAAATAATACTTATACTTTAATAAATCTGAATAATTATTGGTATGCTTATAACCTATATATTGAAAGACGTATGACTAATGTCTTATGTATTCAGAAACAATACTTACTGATTTTAAAGTGATTTATTCTTATGTAGCTTGGGTCTTTAAAAATGTCAATGTATTTTTGTCACATATCAAAATATGAATTATTTTTGGAAAATTGGATACACGCTCAAAAATACGATTAAAGGATCTGAGTAGATTTATACAAATTAATTTTAGAGTAATGTAAATCATTGATGTCAAAAGACACTACATGGGTAAAGCTTTCAAGTTAAGGAATGGGTTTTCCGATTTTTGGTTGTATCATAGCACTATTTTTTAATGTTAGATGATTACCTAACATAAATGTGGACTCTCGATTATTTTTATAAGATTACGTTTTTTATGTATACGCAATAAATATTTTATTTCTTATATCTTAAAGAAATTTACAAAAAATACTTTTTGAATTCTTATAATTAAGCGCACGAAGTGCGGGTAAATTCACTAGTTGAAAATAATTCAACTTTAAACTCTTCATTTTATCCATTTTACTCTTAATGAGAAGCTTTTACAACCACAAAAATGGCATGACCCCACAAAGCTTTTAACCCTTAAGCTTTTAAGACCACAAGTTTCAAAAGTCTTTCTTTTATTTTTCTTAAACTCCGTACCGAGTAAAACTATGTCATCTAAATTGCAATGGATGGAGTACATGTTTTATTTTCCCTAATACATCCTACCAAACTAACCCCAGTGGAATACAAACTACAAACTGAAAAATGGGCAAGATAGCAAAGCTTCACCCACTGCCTTTTTTTGTCACAACATGAGAGAGACAATTGAATGGATATGCGGTAATCTATACTAACAAGATGAAGACCAACTGGTTAGAATAGAATAAAATCGCGGAAGATATGAAATCCAAATCCTTAAATAGTCAATAGATAAGAGATACCACAAACAAAAGTAGACATTAAATTAAAAAAAAAAAAACAATGCTTAATTTCTAGTAAATTGCATACCATCTTCAAGAAGAAGCTCATCCTCAGCCTCATCAACCAAAGAAACTTTTTCAACAACGGAAGGCTTGAAAACTGGTTCGCTTCTCTTCTTGGCATTCACCGTTATACATACCCTTCCCCTTCTCGCCATATTCCAAAGTGGGTTATGTGTATGACAGGAAATCCTGCTAGTATTACTGCTAGAATCCATGGATATTGGTAGGAAAGCTGAATTTGGGCTCCATGTCATCCAACCGGTACTTAAATTCATTCCTTTGGGCAGTTTATTCGTTGGAAAAGAAAAGGGAACAACAAATTAAATACCAAAAAAATGTAATGGCTTTGCTGGTCGACAAAAGCAATAACGACGTCATTGGAATTCATCTGCAGTTGACGACGCCGTTCGAATGCATCACCCAACAATATTAGCTAGCGTTAGGCAATAAATTTTCAAGTTTGGTTTTTATAAAAATAAAAATGTGTTTGGACATCATCAGCTGTTTTCAAAGTATATTTTATTTTATTTTTTGAAAAAATATAAAACATGACATATAACCATAAGTTTTAAAAACTATCATAAATATTCAACAGTATCTTTATCAATAACATTCATTATACTAGTAACCGTACCCGCACGATGCGAGTTAAATATTAAAAAATATTAATTAAATTAAATTGTCCTAAATTTCCAAGTGGCCTACTGTGAGGTTGTCACTTGGCTTAATGTGGAAGCTTTTTCCTCTTCTATTAATAATATATAGATTATCGTAAACCAAATAAATTTTTATAATAAACTACATAATTAGATGACCAAGAAGACGAATTAGCAATGCTACAAAATAATAAATGGTGGACTCTTTTATAAAATATAAAAGTTTGGGGTAATTTTTAAAAAATATAATAGTAATATTTTGGGCGATGTGTTTTTGGGATTTGGGTTTTGAATTTTGGGAATTTGCCAAAATATGGATACAATATATGAACAAATATGTATTTGTCAAAAAAAACCAAATTAATTTTAGCAGAATTTATTGCCAAATGGGTCCTTATATTTCTGTATGAAATTTCAAGGGAATCTTATATATATGTCTCAAATAAGTTCCAACTTACTAACCTCTAACCATTAATTAAGTTTTATCAAAATTAGTCAAACACATATAAAAATTAAAAACCCAAATAAATAAGGTTCTTTATCTCCAAGAATCACAAGGAAAGATCCAAGCATGATGAGCAACATTAGATGCAAGACAGGAAGAAATTTTCATGGATGAGAGAGCAAACAAGGTGACAAAACACAAAAAGGGCCCTTAAAAGGTCAAATCACCTCCAATCATGTATCAAACATGTATCACGCAAGTATGACACACAGGTATACATGGATATACATGTTATATATTTGATACAAATATGATACATATGTGATATACAAATGATACAATTTGTGATAAATATATCATTTTTTCATGTTTCATCTTCTGCTTCGAATTTTCAATTCAAACCACCTCAAAACTCCACCAAATCGTCCCAAAATTGAGATTCAAACTCCTTAAGACATACCTAATCTATTCTAATAACACCCACTAAAAAGAAATTTGATCTTTTTTAACTACAAATAGCTAATTGGGCATTATTAGCAAAATTTGGCTAATATTAGAGCTCTTTAGGTAGTCCATTGATGGTAGGCCATAGTTGTGCATTTTGACCACTAATTGCACTCTAATTTGATGCACTTTAGTAGTGTTTGGGCTTTAAATAATATTAATTTGCACTGAGTGTGTATTTTATGCTTCGCAGGAATGATTTCGAGTTACAATGAGGTTATTGAGCTAATTTAAGCTATTATAGAGCTTTGAAGTATGGGTAAAAGCCCATGGAGCAAGTTGAGATCGTGTTCGAGGATCAACGAACAATAGTGCATTCAACGAGAGAAATTAAGAAGGGAGCACGAAGTTACCCAGGTGCGCGACCGTGCACTGGGCGCGCGACCGCGCACTGGGCGCGCATGATAAGCAGAACCCGTCCCAAGTATATGCGCGGTTAGTTGCCCAGATGCGCGGCTGCACACGTCTGTTCTATAAAACTTTCCCAAGCCTATTTTGGTAATTTCAGAGGCGACTTCCCTTGACCTATATGAAGCTCAACTCGTCTAAAAAGATGGTATCTTGGATTTTTGGAGCAACTTTTGGGGGAGAAGAATGAAGGAAGCAACGGACAAGAAAAATACTTGATCCAACTTAGTCACGAAAGTTGGTGTGAATTTGGGAATTGTAATGTATTCTTGTTCTTTTAAAACTCTTGCCATGAATATTTCTTCCATTATGGAGTAATCTTCCTTAGGGTTATTGATGGATATGAGATTTGACTATTGTTTTGGGTTTTATTCGATGTTAATTGCCCGAATTTATTGAATGAGTTATTAATTGAATTGCAAGGCTTATTGTAGTTTTACTTTAATCGAAAGAGATGTTTCGCGGCAATTTGCAGTGTACCATCTTATTTGGGTTGATTTTACGTCTTTTCTAGGTAATCGAAAGAGCTTAGAGAGTATCAATTAACCCAGCTAGGAAGAATAATCGAGAAGTGTTCTTCGAAAGATCATTCATTCACTATTTTTATGCATATGTTCATAGGACTTGTTATTAGGCTAATTAAAGGAATCACTTTTATTCGGAAGAAGAATTTGAATCCCTGAAGTAGCCTAATCATCTGTTGAAATCGAAGGAGTCAATAGAAGTTAAGAATGAATTTAACATAGAGTTACCCGGAACAATAGTTGATCACATATCTTCACAACCCTTACTTCTCACCCTGATATTCACTTGTTGCTCCTAGTCATTAAAGTGTCATTAGTTCTTACAATTTATAATCTTATTTTTTAATTGTAGTTGATCATAACATAAATCAAAAGTTTATTATCCTAGATAGTGTTGAGCTGAATATTTATTAGAACATTATTTAAACCAGTCCCTGTTGAGACGATTTAATACTATACTATCTTTGACTAGCGAGCCTACATTTGATACACCGATTCTGCGCTCGTCATTCGTTTATTAGTAGTGCAAAAATAACATTTTGATTATAAATTAGTTGATTTATAAGTAGCTTATTACAAAAATTAGTCAATTCATTAAATATTACTAATATTAACCAAATGTTACCAATATTAGCTAATTAGCTATTTGTAGCCAAAAAGTCAAATTTTATTTCTTTTAAGTGGGTGTTATTAGAATAGATTGGGTACATCATAAGGAGTTTGAATCTCAGTTTTGGGATGATTTGGCGGAGTTTTGAGATGGTTGTATATTACATATGTATCATATTTGTATCAAATATATATCACATATATATTCATGTATATCAGTGTGTGTAGTACATACATGATACGTGTTTGATACATGTGTCGTAGAAGATTATTTTAAACTCAATTTTAACTATGAATTTTGATACTAAATTAGTCCAAATCCCCTCCAATCTTTCTCAAAATTTGTGTATTGATTGATCTATATATTTTCAATGATTTTCAATCATACGACCCAGAGTTAGACTGGGTGCCATAGAACTAGAGTTAGACAAACACCTAAGGCTGTTGAAAAGAGAGAAAGGATCGAGTGGATTGTTGTTGGGTCAGCCTTCAACTCAAGATACAATGGTGAACAGCGAAGAGATAGTAGACCTAGCTACCAGATAGGCAACTCAGCAACAGGAAGCACGGTTAGTGACTGAAGCAGCCTGGAGAATTACGGATATAATGGTTGATAGGGATCAAAGACTCAATCCCAATCAAATTATCGAGGATGCATTTGAAAATGCAGTTCCTAGGCCTGAGAGATCACTAGGAGATTACGCTAGACCGGTGTATAACCAACAATAGTCTAGTGTGAGGCCCCCACCCATCGATGCCAACAATTTTGAACTCAAACAGGGAGTCATCTAGACCATTCAGAACAATTGTATTTTCAGAGGCAAACCTAATGAAGATCTCAACAACTATCTGATGGACTTTGATGAAATTATAAACACATTCCGCTACATTGGAGCATCACATGATTCTATATACCTCAGAGCATTCCCTTTCTCACTTAAGGATGAGGCAAAGCAGTGGTTGAGAAGTCTGCCGATAGGTTCGAGTCGTATGTGGGAGGAGATGACTACCAAGTTTCCGAAAAGATACTTCTCGGTTGCTAAGATTGGGAGGATGAGAAAGGAGATTCACAATATCAGCCAAGGTGAAGGAGAGACTGTTTAAGGCATTGGAAAGATTTATGGAGCTATTGCGGAGGTGCCCTCACAACGGAATGGAGCAATGGATGTAACTGCAGGACTTTTGGGACGGGTTAAACCCGTCATCAAGGAGATTGCTTAATAGTGCAGTTGCAGGTCCTCTGTTGAAGAAAACTCTAGAAGAGATTGTCGCTCTTTTGAATGAACTATTTGAAGATGGAGAACAATGGTCCACAGACCAAGGGGATCGAAGAAGATCAACAGGGGTGCACCAAGTAGAATCGTCTATAGCAATGCATGCCCAAATTGCAGCTATGGCTAAGGACATCAAGCAATTGATGATAACTTAGGTGCAAAATCAACCACATGTGGGATGTGATATCTGTGGGCTGGGACACCCTACACATGAGTGTCAAGCTACAACTGAGAAAGTCAATGTTGTGGGGAACTTTAATAGAGGAAACTACCAAGGTAGAAACAACTTTAATGCTATGGGTCAAAGACATTCATTTTTTCGTGGAGTTCACCTAATGGGATCTTGAACTCATGGAAGCAAAATAATCTCACACCCTAGGGTCAAGGACCACCAGGTTTTCAAAACCAGCAGAGGCAGCAATACCAGCCACTATAACCAAATCAGTCAAATATGGAAGATCTTATAAAGGCATTCATCAACAAAACATATGAAAAAATCAAGACTCAAGGTTCGACTATACAGAATTTAGAAAGACAAATGGGACAGATCGCAAATTTGTTGTCTGAGAGGGCTCTTGGGACTCTTCCCTCTGACACTGAAAAGAACCCAAAGGAAACAATCAAAGTTGTATCTCTGAGAAGTGGCAAAGCATTGGCTGACCCAGTGGTGAAGGCTAGATCTGAGGTAGTTAACAAGCAGACTTAGACACCAACAGAGAAAAAGAGTAAAGAGCAAAAGAGCTAGAATAATGGGGTACAAAAGGAGATTGAAGAAAGTAGACATATGCCAGCTCTACCATTCCCTCAAAATATGAAGCGGGAGAAACTTGACAAATGTTTTGGGCAATTCTTGGAGATGCTCAAACAACATTATATGAACATTCCCTTCACAGAGGTACTCACTCAGATGTCTGCTTATGCATAGTTCTTAATGGAAATCCTGTCTAGCAATAGGAAATTAGAGGAGGCAACAATGGTCA